TTATAAATTGGCCTTAAATCTTGATTACATCTTTTACCAGCATTTACGGCCACAAAAACAATTTTTTCTTTGTCAAAGAGACAAAAACATACATCTATTGTACAGAAGGCAGTTATCACGGTTTATTTACTTTTACTTTTCCATGAGCAATTTGAAAAACTTTGATAATTTAATATTCACACATAAGCAACGATATTATTTATACTTTTTTATACTTATGAATGTTGCATTTTCTCTGTTATGTATTTGACCTTTCCTAGCAAGAATAAATATAATTATTTACATTCATTTCAGAGGGTAGACCGAGGCAGAGGCTTCACGATCCCCGATAGATTTCGTTTTTGGGTCCCGTTTTGTTGAATTTTTGCGGTGGTCATGTTTACCTTTGTCTTTTGAGATTAAAATAACGACAAAGCGTACAATTTTAACGGTAAGTTTGCCTATTCCATAAACTGGAAATGAGTTTTCTGATTGTTTAATATCTTTTAATTCCATGTTCGAAGAACAGCTATCGCTAGCTGCTACTCGCTCGACAAACTATAACAAGTTCGAGCCTAGAGCAAGGAATTTTCTACATGGTTTGCGCGAGCTGGGCGTTCCGAGAGAGGAGGGAGTGCTAGGGACGATTGCCTGAGTGATGGCCCATCGAGCGATCAAGTCAGCGTTCAGGCTCTTTCAAATCTTGCCCGCCATAACCAGTCAATCTCGCTGACCAAGGAAGGAAAACGGACGCGGAGGGTGCGGAATAGAAATCGTTGGCAGAGCGCGTTAGGCGCACGAGATTCTTTTTTTTTTTTTTCTTTTTTTTTTTTTTTTTTTTTTGTGAGCAGGCCCGAAAAGGTAGTAAGGACATGTTCTAAAAAATTCAAAGACTTTGTACCGCAGTACTCCATGTCGCCGAGCTTTGCCTCCAGTTGTAAGGTCAAATGTGACCTGCTCAATCAGACTTCAGCAAAGAACAACACAGTACAATATGATCCGATTGCTGATATCGGATCCTGATCGAAAGTCAGACCCTGAACGGTAGCGCTCATAAGGTAAGTACTTCTATCAGTACAACAGCTTGCGGCAAGGACAACTAGCTACGAGAATATAGTAACTTTTTCCAACCCGTTCTCGATGCAAAGGATTTACACAGGCCGCAGTCTAGTGCCTTTCTCACTTACGCGAACGAGATGTGGCATTGCCACTACAACTTCTTTTCCCTTTTTTCTCTTTCATTGTTTATGCTTTTATGATACATTTATTTATTTTGTACTTCCTTTGTGTTTTTTATCGAAATTAAGAGGCGGCGCAGGGTTCACTGCGGGAGCCCCGCAGTGGCTGCTCTGTCTGCTTCGTGGAGGAAAACAAATCCATCATGTTAAATGAAATAGGTGAGAAAGTAAACATTTATGAATTATATTCTGTAATATTTTCAATACGATTAGTTAATTTTGAAAAATCTGGATATTAATGAATGTGCGGATTAAGTCTTTTTAAAACAAAACAATCTTCCGAGCACTTTCGCTATGACAATGAATGAATAATGTTTAATACTGTTCAGATGAAAATATAATATTCAGAATAATAAGAATGTAGGATGCTATTCAGATAAATAGATTAAGCGCTATTAGGCACATTATCAGTTGTACATGTGACATCCTTAAATTCATACTATTTATTTTTACTTTCTTGCACTTACTGTGAAAGAACTGAAAGTTTTGTAATCGTTTGCAGGAAAAGGGAAAATTTTGGCAGAACTCTTATTGCCGGGCCCTAAAAACCAAAAAGTGAATAAATCCTGTTCCTATATATAGTATCTTACTTCCTCTAACTCGTGATGTAGCCAGAATATATGTTTTTTGGGTCCTGAATTCCGAAAAATCGATTGACAGCAAAACGTCTATCCGGCTCACTGTCGTCTGTGGTCGACGCTAGCGCCTAAACTGTTTAGCCGATTTATTTCTTTTCATGTTCATTTTTTCAGTAAAGTGAGTAGTTTTTTAGTATTTTTTTGCGCGAAATACTGGCAATTTTTAAACAATTATTTTTTCCGAAAACGTTTCAAGTTTTTATTCAAATTTTCTCCTCATATGTATCAGGGTAAACATTTTAAATATTAACTTTGGTACTAACGAAAACGCCGAACGGCCGAAAATGGTACTAACACTATATTTTTCCCGTTCCTTTATACATACGAAGATAAAATTTAAAGAACCAATTCGAAGTTGTGTTTGAGAAAAAAATGATAAAAAAATTAAATTTTCTATATTTCGCGCAAAATTACACGAAAACTACTCATTTTTTTCGAAAAATTGAACAAGACCTTATTTTATGAACTATCTTTAAAGAACAGATTTCATTAAGAAAAAAATATCTATCTTCAATATTGGTTCTGCCTTAGCTCCACATGCACTCCGCTTTTTATTGACTGATGGATATTTGTTTTCGGGCGCGTCGAGCTAAAAGTCATTGGTCTCGTAAGTGTAGTCCATTCATTACGTTGCTCCTGTAAGTTCCGGGTGATCTCCCGCTGAATGGGGAGATCCGGCGCCGACATACTCGTCGGCTAGCGGGATTTTCTCTCAACAACTACCTCGCACCGCCCCAGCCGGGACAAACTCTACCAACCGACTGGTGTGGTAGTGTAGTTGGCCCGTTGGCGCTGCTCCGCCATTCGCCTGGAAAAAACCACGGAAAGCTAGCAGCCAGACGCTAGAAGTCTCTTCTAGCCAGTGGCTGAATTCGACCTAGCTATCTAGCTAGAGTCGAAAGTGCTGCCACCGTCTGGGCTCGAATCCCAGGGGCCCAGGACCTCCTGGTTGAGGCACTGCAGTGACATCAACTGATGCTCTGATCCACATAAGCCGGTCTGCCCACCGCATTTTTGCATGCATGTTCCTCCACATATTCCCCACGCGTTCATCACATGCTCCTCGCAGCTTCCTCACATTTTCCCTGCGAGTACCCCACGGGCTCCTCACAATTTTCTCAAATGTAACCTCCCATTCTCCAATTTGAATTAAATTAGAAGATAAGACGTAGTTGGGTGAAGTTAGTTAATTAATCTCTGGTAAAGAAAGCTATGCAAAAGCACACATGTAAATGGTAGATAAGAATAAATTGAAAAATGTTTCCCGCATATTTCCCGCTTGTGTGTCAACTGTTTCATAACATGATCTTCACAAGGTGTATCACATACCATGTTAACCGCATGTTTCACTGCATATTTCCCCTGCAGGTTCCCTCCACAAGTTCTTCACATATCCTCCATGGGTTCTACCATATGCTCCACTCTTTTTCATCGCATTTACCCGCTCTTGGTCATCTGTAAATTAAACTGCACATACAAATATTTAATTCACATCTTTTTTAGAACGAAATACCTTAAAGACCGTTATGGTAGAGGCAGTGGCTCCTCTACCGAATGAAACTATGTTATGGATAGCTGGAGTACTCAGAAGAGTGGACACCCTCCCTCCCCTCCCCCCAAAAAATAATAGAAGAGCTCCAAAGAGTAGTAAAATTGGCTGTACTGTGAACCCTAACTCTGGTAAACCGTATTTCGAGGTGAAGAAACCTTCGTAATAGAACATTCAAAAAGTCTCATTTTGTCGTCTACGACATAAGAAACTTAACTCGAGTCCTTACGGAGGCACGATAACGTGGTGTTAATGCCCTAGGGCGCACGTTTACGAATTACGCACGATGGTTGTAGCACCAAAAAGTTGCGGGTTGCGTGTGCGCCTGATTTCTCAAATATCCATAATCTGCAAACTTAATATACTCACGGGGTTTTTGTGCAAATAATTTCTTACCAAAGGTGAAAAATCGTAATATTTCCTTAGCATAGAATACGTAGAGGGGATTCTTTCCTCTTGTCTTCTCTATACATTTATTATATTTGATTGTATATTGAGTTTAGGACGATTAGTTAATCAAATCAATCTACTTACTACAAACACCAACCTTTCGACATTTTATTAAGCCTAATCAAGGTTTAGGGCTTTTATTACTGTTTCCACGATTTAAGATCTATTTCCAACTGCTGAGGTGACTCAGAGCACCAACTGATGTCACTGTAATCTGGTGGATTCCAAGATTGGAGTCCCGTCGGTGGCAAGATTTTCGACGAGCAAGATGGCTAGGACGAAGTCAACCGCGAAGTTCTAGCGGCCGTTTGCTCTGATCGGTAGTTTCCTTTGGCGTCTCCAATTAACCCAGGCCCAATCACTCCAAACACCAGGCGAATCTCGGAGCAGAACTCTAACAAACACGCCATGGTCTACATGTTCTTTCCTTTCTCTTCCTAGTCCCCTCAACCCTTACACACTCACACACACTTACATGCACTACTCAACCATACATGTCAAGCGCGAAGAGCTTGTCCCGGATGGGGTGGTGCCCCCTCTGGTAGGAGATACCTGGATGCGGAAACACCTGCAAGCGTACGAAGCGTACGTGTGGTCGGTGTCGGATTTCGCCATCGAGTGAGGGAAGAACGCCTCCGCTTCTGTGATACAACATGCACATCACTTTCGAGACGAATTAATGCCTATAACTGTTGAGGCACCCGAAAAGACGAAATAATCAATTGATCTTTCGATCTACTTCCAATTAAAACATTATAAATATTATTGTCATTCATGGTGACATTAATGCACATACGCACCTGGGGAAACCTTCACGAATAGTTATTATTATTATTATTATTATTATTATTATTATTATTATTATTATTATTTTATTGTTGTTGTTGTTGTTGTTGTTATTTTCAATCGCTCACGTCCGTATGGTAGTACATTTACTGGAACGTTCATAGTGGTGGTGCTGCGTACACATCTGGCAGGAAGGAGAGTGATAGGGCTTTAAGGGCGTCGCGTTCTGGGATCTGGTGGAGGCTTCGCGCGCGAGGGACGAGTGGTCGGGTGAAGGGCGGGCGGAGCAGTGGGGGGAGGCCAGCGGAGCGGGGGCACTGCCGTGGTGCGGGCAGAGTTCCGCGCCGCCGCCGCCGCCAGTCCGCTCCGCGCCTTCGCTGCCGTCGCGTGTCCCGTTCGTGCCCCACGTCCGTCCGCCAGCCCGTGCGTCCGCACGCCCGCGCCGCCGCAGCCGCAGCCGCCTGTCAGTTTCGCCAGCGCTCCTCCTTCGCCCCCCGCTGCTGCCATGATGTCGGCGGCCGAGAGCCAGCCGCCTCCGCAGACCGCCGCCAAGACGGAGATCGGCGCGCAGGCCTCCTTCCCCAAGATCAACATCGAGCACTTCCGCACTTTGCCCGGCATCGTCAAACTAGTGCAGCTGGTGAGTACGTGGCGAGAAAAAGAGGAAACCCATACTGAGACCCAAATAATACCCTGTGATACGCCAAAGAAATCCTCTATTAAAAGAAAGGAAAAATTACCACTAACATCGTGAGAGCATGCCCACCTTATTTTCCTCCATCTAAACATTTCAACCACTTTATCAGGATGACTTTATATTGATATAAAACTCGCAAATCTAGTTTACGTCTTATAAGAAATGCGAAATTACAAGAGTGATTTAAACGCGTCTTGGAAGTTCCCAAAAATCAATCTATGTTCATTGGATTGAAAACCGTTCAAGATCTTCAGGTAGTGCAATCGTGGAAGAAGAAATAATAGGATTTCCCCTGTCATGAAAAACTAGTGATTGTGAACGCCTTGAAAAAAACGCGATCCTCAGTTGTACTCTAGGATTCCCAAGCTCATTATGTTCGTGGTCTAATGAACGCCGGAACATTTCCGGGAGTAAACCGGTTAGCGAGCTAAGCGAGTATGTTACATCAGCTTTAGAATTGCTCAAATCCTTAAATCGCGTAGCCATGTTTTATTTATGACTAGAGAAGTGCCTTAGCATTGTTCCTTTTAAGCAATTTTAATGATATATCAAACACAGAATGTGTCTACCTAACCATGATAATTATCTTTATGACCGTGCTATCAGAACATTAATGTGCGGAATTCCAAAAGCAGCATATCTCAACTGATGGACGTAATTGTTGAAAATCACAACTTTGAAATGAACAACAGGTGTGCCTCCCCTCTTGGCTCTGTAGAATCAGGTCGACATGGTCCTCTTGACCCACTTAACGTCTTCCTTCTCGGAAGAAAGCAGAGTTACGTTTCAAAGGAAGAAAAACAATGACATGTCGGCGAAGGAACATTATAAACACAATCGAGTGCTCGAGAATGTAAAGTACATCCTTTAAAGGATATCATGTGTGTATGCTATGCGCACTCAGTTATCAGTTGTTTGAATATGTCAGTACGTGTAAACATAACAATATTTTCGGAGAGACGAAACGAATTGTTTCAAAGTAATCACGCTATATCAATGTCACATTTGTAGAAAGTGTTTTTATTGTCACCCACCGGAAAGTTTCCGATTTTCCCATTACATTATAAGGACTAGAAATGGTATTCTTCTTTTACGTTCCGTAAGCAATTTCTCACTAAATTACAGTTCTACTGCAATGTCTTAACATTAAGATGGTTACAGACAGAAAATACTGTGTTAACATTTAACTTAAAACTTAGCTAACTTTATTTTAGAGTTATGTTTCCTTGTTTTTTTCTTCCATTTATTTGAACGGGAAATCTCTTCTTGCTTCGTGACTCTCTTATCTTGTGTAACAGTGTGAATAAATGTAAGTAAATAATGATGAAAGGTCCAAAATAACGAAATATCTCTTTATAATATGCGTGAAAGTTTTACGAAATGTATAGTATTAAAAATTAACCCCGCACATAGCATTCACACATGCAATTAATAAGTCGGCTTTTCCAAGGTGTTGAAGGCTTCGAGTTGGTATTAAGTTAATCCACATGTCTTTATCATGAATACGTGAACTGCAATTCTGATGTATCCTTCAATCACTCTGGATTTTCCCAATTGGTCGGAACGAAAACATCTTTTTTTTACCTCGACCTGTTTTCACTACAGACGGTAGTGCATTGTTTGATGAGTATTCTGGTTCTGGATTTAATTCATGTTACATTAAGTAAATTATTATTTCTAAACATTTATACGTGAGCATCAAAACACAGCACTTTTGCCTGTTTTTGTAAAATGGTAAACTTCATTTTCGATAACAAAAACGAGTTAACAGATGTTTATGAGTCTAATCGAGGATCTACGTGATACAAATTGCGCGCCACTTTTCAAACTTGTTGGCTATAAAACAAACAATTTTAAAACCTATTTTTAAATATCATTCGTACTAAGTAATCCTGAGCAGAGAATGGGAAATGAGAATGTTTTGCTAGCGTTTTATGGCAGCGTGAAAGGAATTTTTTCGTTTCACTACCGCGTGCCCTCTTGGCTACGCCCAATGCCTTCGTCGTGTCGCAACTCGTGGTGGGCGATTCCTTCCCGTGGGGGCCTAGTGGACGCCGCAGCGGGCCATGTGACGAAGTTTCCGCAGTACGGCCCTAACTTCCATCAGGCAGCGCTTGCTGCAGGCCGACGGCGAGCGGCCGCCCGCAAGGCCACAATTGGCGAACGCTCGACGTCAACGCACGCGGCAGCGGTTGGGAGGCCAAAAAAAAAAAAAAAAAAAAAAAAAAAAAAAAACAAAAAAAAAAAAAAAAAAAAAAAAAAAAAAAAAAAAAAAAAAAAAAAAAAAACTTTAACGGACACGGCTACAGGGAACAGAGAGGGACATTAAAAAGGGGCTTTCAACGAGCATTTTTAATGTTTTATTTCATAGGGTGTAATTGATTACACCTAACAAATTAGCTTACTTGATCTATGTGGCTAGGCGAAGGCTTTGCCATTACAATACCTACATCCTTTCGCGTTCTAAACTTTCGAATTCTGGTATTCACCCCAAAATGGTCTGCTCATCGGCCAATCAAAGCTGGTGAAAAGAGACCATAAGGTGACGGCTCAGGAAACCTGAAGGGGGTAAATCTGCCGTCAGAAGCGAGGTACATCTAATCTATCCGATGACGTTTATTTTAACTAACGGAGCATTTTACAACACGGATGCAAGTTGGGGAAGCTATCGAATGTCACCCAACCATCCAACCCGCCGAATTGCTATGAATCTGGTCTCCTCCCTGTCAAGACGAGGCTACATATCAGACATTGATAAACACCGCTCGGTAACCGTATACACAATTTTTTTCATGGGGAGCATGGGATTTCGGTGTGGTTATATTTTATTATTTATGGTTAACCATGATCAATTGCAGACAACATTACATGGAATTCCGCCTACGTATGTCCATGGCACGCGCAGTTTTTAAGCTGTGATTTTGTTGCGATTCTTTTAGCGGGAACTTTGTCTTGGTCTGAAATCAGCGAAGACTTTCATTCATTGCTTTTAAGAACTTCGTTCGTATTTTCGAACCTCGTGTCGAAACTGCTAGATATGGCGTGAAATGTAACGCATGTGGACATTGTTTCAACTATTGTTAATTTCAATGTGTCTTGATAACTCGAAATTTCAATGTTCCTATTCTTGTGATATTCAAAATGTACTCATTCACCGATAGTTTGAGAAGTTTCCGTTGTTCACACCTCCGTTTGGTAATTCGTGGAAGTTTTGATAAAAATGCTCGTCGCCGATACACCAATCGTGGCGGTGTTAGCTTTCGAACGCTTTTTGTGACATTCATTGCCTTGAACTCCAAAAACGAATGTGATACTTATCTAAACTTAATATCGCGTTATTTTCCTTGTTTTTCTTGTTCTACGTTCCTTGTAATGTGTGGTGCTTTACACGCTCGTGCTATGTATCAAACTTTGCATTCATTTTCGGGCTAATTAATTTAGAGTGAGGGTAGACTCTAAAACATTTAAAAATTTGAAGTGACGTTGGCCAATATTTCCGTGGAATTATGTATCTTTGTTCCTTTTTCGTTACTTCTCACTGTCGTTTTCATATTTTATTATTCCATGTAGATTTTCTTATTTATTTAACATTACGATTTTTTGATTTATTTACTCTTTTAATTGTCTGATATTCTTAAGCATTAACAATTGTCCAGCTGGTAAGGATTTCAAAAAAATATTTTTTCAACCAATTCACAAATGCGTAATATATTGGTAACAGTAAAGTCGACTATGATCGTGCATCATTCAGAAATAAATAAGGGAAGCCTTAATATATTGGATGCCTCCCTTGCCTCTTTGCACGTCCATTAGATGGGCACGCCTTTTTCAAATAAACAGGTGCAATGAAGTCTACTTTGGTTAATAATTTTGCAGTTCATGAATTTCTTTTAGTTTTTATTTTCTGCTTTCCGAAACCTAAATCAAGGCCAGATCTAACATCTACTATAAAGGTATTATCATGCAAGTGTGATTTTAATTACTCGTATTACCATCTAGTATAAGAACTGGTCTTGTGAAATTAATTGGAAGAATTGATGACGCCAATTTTTGTCCCAAATATTTAAGTAAGAAAACATGATTTTCAAAAGAGATAAAACTGCCTTTCTTATGGTTTCGGTTGTATTTTTCCTTCTTTATCTTATTTCAGTATTTTCTTCTGAATTGTCAAGAAGTCGTGTCGTTAAATTCACGACAGACAGTTCGTGGAATGTCGCGTCGTAAAAATATAATTATCTTTCTCTTTCTTCGATAACATTCTCGCTTCATACTAGAAGGATAGTTCACAAATTTCCAAGAAATTGCGTTTCAGATAACAAACTAAGCCCAAATAATTTTGTCATGATTTTTTTATTTTAAATAAACTACAAAAGACACGCTTTTCGATAATGTTTTGGATGTGGTGGGCAGCATATGAGCTTAAAACTCACTTCTTTCATGTTCAATGAACTGCAGTTACACGGGTTCTTTGGCATGTGTGACGAGGGTTCGGGCAATTTGCTTCAGGGCGACCTTTCAATTTAGCTAGGACGCTGCGTTTACAACGCAGCTTTTTCTCGACGTTTCACAAGGACAAAAGTGCCTCGCAGCCACTTGCTTGGAAACAATAGCAGGAGACAACACCGCGGACGGGAATACATCCTCATTCAACAGCGTTCCCGAATAAACTTTGAAACAAGGGAAATCCACAAAATAGTGGTATAACTTTTTCTCTGTGATTTTTTTCTATTCCCAAGAATCTGTCTGATTTAAGTTGTGAACTGTAGATCATCTTGGTAGAAATCTAGAGTTAGTACTGAGCAAGAAGAATTGGAAGCAGTGGATTAGCCCTCACCTTTCTCTTCCTTTCCCAGCTTTTTAAGAAATTATTTGAAAATCCTGGAGTAAACTTACGTACTTTCGGACTTGATTCTATTTGTTTTCGAGTAGGTGCATTGTGCTGT